TCATATATGGTGTTTGACATGAGTTATGGTCTAAGACAATGCTAGTTTGGCATAATGTTGGTAGTTATGCAATGACGCCACAACATATGGGCATTGTACACTATTTCTTGTTAAGATGCCTTTTCTCCCTTATTCTCCTCCGTTTTTGATATAATTAACCACAAAGGATATCGGTAAACTCTATATTATGTCTTCGATGGGTATTTGAATATGGCACATTAGGTATATATAAGAATGGTATAAAGCACATATGCAATTTAGTGGATCTACACTTTTTTAAATTATGGAGTTCGGCATGAAGGAACTTTATAGAGATTTTTCACATATTTTGTATTAACACAAGCTTTGATCACAATAGGTATAATGACATGAAGGAATTTTACAGAGACTTTACACATGTACTTTGTAGTAACACAAGCTTTGATCACAATAGTTATGATTTGATATTATTTAGTATTAATAAGAATGGAAGTAAGTCATCCATACACGAGTAGTAATAAGTACAATTTCATAATATGGGTTTGGAAAAGAAGGGGGAAAAGGGAAGGGGAAAGGAAGGAAGGAAAAAAAAACATTTTCTCTTCACTTATGATAAAATTATGGGTATTACGTGGGTATTAATGGGGTGAATAAGGTTAGAGATTCTGGTAAAAGTAAGATAATATTTAAGAGGTAAAGCTGATTTTGATTACAATAGGTAGGGGGGGCTGGACTATGGGGATATTAGGGAAATTTGGAGATAGAATGGCCAAGCGAGGGGAAAGAAGAGGGAGGGCTTGTATTATCATACTCAAGAGCTGGAGAGGCATGTTGAGCAGAGTTAAATTAGCAATTCGATGTAACATGGTTCTTTAGATTAGTGTGGCCCGATATCCTAGACAAAACTAATCGATTTACTGAACGTTATTGTGTTAATCATAGGTCGGATATTTGGAATATTGTTTGGTTTCTGATGAGGTTTGGAGACTTTTCTCCTCTTCCCAGTGTCTTTATTTCTGCAATTATAGGCAGGTCTTGTTCAGGAGGTTATAAGTACATATGTTTACTCATTGGACTATCAGGAAGGGATTTGCTTCCCTTCCTGGAATATGTTCCACATTTTATATTATATTTTGGAATTACAACTTTTGAGGGAGGGGAGAGGAGAGGGAGATTTGTACTATTATAACTAAGAGTTGTAAAATATGTTAAGTAGAGTTAGATCAGTAATTCGCTGTGATATGGCCTTATGGGTTAGTGTGGTCATATATTCTAAACAAAGTTAATAGATTTATGGATTAAAATATGATTGATTATAGGCAAGATATTTGGAATGCCGTTAGGTTTCTGAAGAGTTTGGATGCCTTCCTCCTCTCGCCAGGGTCTTTATTCCTGCAATCATAGGCAGGTCTCGTTCGGGGGGCTACATATATATGTCTCCCCACTGGATTACCAGGAGGGGTTCATGTTTTATGTATTTTATTATGTAAATGTGTATTTGTCTTTTTGTTTTTTGTTGGTTTTTTCTGAGACTCGACCTGGGATGCAATCGGGACAATAGGTGCTATGATGGTACTTAATGTGGTATCATGGAATGTTCAGGGTTTGAATTCACCACAGAAAAGGGGAATGGTCTATAAACTTCTAAATGAAAATGATATAGACATTGCCTTTATTCAGGAGACACATTGGATTAATTCTCCAGAGAGATTCTGGAAGTTTAAGAAATTCCCGTTAATATTTTCTTCTAACATGGAGGGGAGTAAAAAAAAAAGAGGCACTGCTATCAATCTCTAGCAGAATTAATTTTGAAATGATACATCTAACTGGGGACACAATGGGAAGATATGTGATACTCATTTAAAAAATTGATGGCATTATCTATACTTTGGTCAATATTTATGCACCAAATTCTTGCCCGGGGGACTTTTTGGATGAAATCATGGAAAATGTTGATGAATTAGCATGTGGCAACATTATAATTGGGGGAGATTGCGTATTGGACCCAACACAGGATAAAAGTCACAAAAATACTAGAGATCACAAATCTGTAAATACCTATGTATCCGATTTTTCGGAATTTCTAGACAGGAATTCTCTATTTGATTGTTGGAGGACTTTAAATCCCAGTGTGAGAGATTATACTTTTTTTTCACATGTCCATCAGACGTATTCTCGAATAGATATGTTTCTGGTGAAAGCTGAGTTTTTAAGTTCTATTATTAAATCCAATATTGGATCTATAGGTGTGTTGGACCATGCACCAGTATTCATCAAGGTTAAGTTAAAAGGTGGTCTTAGACCAAGGACAAGGTGGAGACTTAACAAAAGCCTTCTGAAATCAGAGTGTAACATTGATTTTTTTTTATTATTAATGATAATGGGGAAGTCCCCACGGCAATGGTATGGTGTACCTTTACAAGTTTTATAAGGGGATTATCGATTAAATTTGGTTTTGAATTTAAAAGGAAGAAGGGAGAATCTTTGCAAGAGTTAAGAATAAAATTGGCAAATAAGGAACGTTTAAATTAAAATATGGTGAATAAAGACTTAATTGAAGAAATAGCTAACTTAAGAGAAATTATCAAAGATAGAATTTGACATGGTCAATAAAATTATATTATTTCTTAAAGGACCACTATAGTGCCAGGAAAACATACTCGTTTTCCTGGCACTATAGTGCCCTGAGGGTGCCCCCACCCGGCTCTGGAAGGGGGAAAGGGGTTTAAACTTACCTTTTTCCAGCACTGGGCGGAGAACTCTCCTCCTCTGATCCTCCTCCGTTCCGCCCCGCCGGCTGAATGCGCACGCGCGGCAAGAGCTGCGCGGGCATTCAGCCGGTCGCATAGGAAAGCATTTACAATGCTTTCCTATGGACGCTGGCGTGCTCTCACTGTGAAAATCACACCGAGAATCACGCGAGCGCCTCTAGTGGCTGTCAATGAGACAGCCACTAGAGGATTAGGGGGAAGGCTTAACCCATTCATAAACATAGCAGTTTCTCTGAAACTGCTATGTTTAAAAAAATAGGTTAACCTAGCTGGACCTGGGAGGAAACTCAATTACACATACAGTTAAAACATACTTTCTACCCAACTTTCATAACTCTAAAACCATACATCACATTCACATAAAATTACATATTCACAATCAATCCATTCAGGGGAACAACATATTAAAAAATGGCATGAATCAGACCAGGGGTTCAAAAGTTAGTAAAAGTATCTTTTGGGCCCTGGCTGGCATATGGATATCTGGCTCAAACAGGTTTTACAGAGCCCTCTATCCTGGAGACAATGGGGGAAAGTAATCCAATTATCCAGGGATAGAGGCAGACTCCATTGAGCACATGGTTGCAAAAAGACATAAAACACTTTAAAATACATAAAGTCACCTTTTACACATAACACACAGACATTTCACATATCCCCAGATAGCTGGGATCTGAGCGCACAAAACTACCGAATAGCGCTCAGATCCTATTCACACAGTTCAATTGCCATGGAGCCAAAGTCTTTAACTACACAAATGGGCTCCATGGCATAGCTATCTGGGTTAACACATTTACATAAAGTCTGGTCCATAGTCCAAAGGCAGCAGGCGGGCAGCCAGGCTTCTCCAATGCAATGTGGCAAGATTGCTCTCGTCACACCAATGGTTTAAATTCCATCGGTATTGGATGCTATATCTATCTATAGCAGTTTTTCTAACTACAAGGTTAATATGAAAAAAACGCAAACCTTAGCCTCTTTTCTATCTGAGGCTCAGAAAGATCTTCTGACTGCACGCTTCCACTTTTTATTGGCAAAGGACACTATTGGCTACTTGGGGATTAAAATATCCTTTGATATTGATAGGATGATGTAAACGAACTATGGCAGTCTATTAAAAGATTTGCAACAACAGGTAGACAAATGGAGGAAGACTGAGTCCTCATGGATAGGAAGATTAAATATGATCAAGGCATTCCTGATACCTAAACTTGTATACTATCTTAGGGCGATTCCTTATAGAGCGGGGAAAGGTATTTCAAAATATGATTTCTAAATATATTTGGGCAAATAAACCACCTAGGATAGCGTTTGATACTCTCCGAAGGAGTTATCAGAAGGGAGGAATAGCATTTCCAGATGTTGATAAAATCCATGAAGCATGTATGGCGACTCACCTTTTACAGTGGCTAGACAGGGACCAGGGAAATAAATCATGGCTCACTCTAGAACAGGAGGATAGCCCCAGATATAAACTGTCTGTTCTTTTTTGGATGGGTATTTTGAAACTAGGTGAATTGGATACCAAGCATTTTTCCAATAGTATATTGATAGATATGATCAAAAATCTTAAATATAAAATTGAAATTGGAAGACAAATTACTATATGGGGTTCCATTAGTGGTCCTACAACATGCAATGGATAATATAAATGTCCAACCCTGGACACACCTAGGTATATTGAAGATCTCGGATTTATGGGATGGATCTAAACCCATCCCATTTACACAACAGTAAAATATAATCTTCCCCCAGAGACCTTTTTCAATATCTAAGAATTAAAAATGTTCTATTATATAGGACTATACTTAAGGACCATAATGTTAATCCTCTTATTGTACTATATAAAAAGAAGGGAGGGATTTCTAGATTTATTAAATTGCTAGAATCAATGGAACAAGACTCCCATGCTACCTCCTTTACTAAATGGGAACGAGATATTGGGGAATCTTTTACACTTCTGGAATGGACTAAAGCTACACTCCTAGTTAAGCGCTGTATACATGTCTCTCTCTACGAAACACATCTAAAGATAATATATAGATGGTATATGGTAGCGGCTAGACTCTATAAAATATCATCTGTATATTCTAGGAATTGTTGGAGATGTGGAAATGAGGAGGGCAATATTTACAATATGGTGGGAATGTCAGGGACTTAATAACGTAAAAATCCAAATGCTTGGTCTTGTTAACTCTATTTTCAAGGAGATAAAAGAAATTAGCCCTCAACTTTTCCTTTTTAATATTGGTTTTCCTTCGCAAGATAAATATCAAAAATATCTTCTTTTTTTGCCATTAAAATATGTATAGCCAGGGCTTGGAAATCTTCTATCCCATTATCATGGCATAATGTTATGGAGCAAATAGACTATCAGCACAGGATGGAATCAAACCCCTTCTTTGGCACTAGGGATTTGGTCAAACTATGGTTACCCTGGACAAATAGACATTATATAAGACAACAAAGATTGTGATCCTTTTTGAAGCCCCATGTCGAGTCTCAGGAATTTAATTTATTTGTATAATTATTTTTTTTAATTTTTTTTATTGGTAAATGAATTATGTTTATCAATGTAACAGCTATACTATGAAAATCTTTGGAATGTGTTTTTTAATAATGGTTGATTATTAAACAAATATAGTATGATTGTAAGATATACCGTATATACATATCTGATGGTTTTTACTGAATATTGTATTCTATATAGAAACTTTTGGTATTTAATGCTATATAATACCTCTATTATTGTATATTACCACTATGTCCTTGTTTAAAGCAGTTATATTGATGGGGTTTTTTTTCTGTTTTTTTTTTTAAGTCAAATGCTATAAATTGAATAAATAAAAGTCGATGTTCTAACGTTAGCAATTTTAAGGTATACTATAACAATACCTCAGAAATGTAAATTCATACGGTTTATAGCCTAAACAAAAAAAATGTGTGCTTATTCTAACATGTACCTCTATGTCTAATTGTTTTAATGCGCTGGAGGATTGCCTTTGGGGTACCTCACACGCGAATGTTATAAACTTACACACAACAAATATAAAGAATTGAAAAGAGCTAAAAATCTTTAAAGTAAACAACTATACTGTAAAAATGAAACCTCTTTTTCATTATGTGTGTCACGGCTAGGGGAGATGTGGCAAGAGCTGCAAAAACAAAGTGTTTTAACTCCTAAGCTGCAGGGGCATGATTTACATACCAAAACTTTTCCACTAAACTTAAATGTGTGCCCTGACTTGCCTATGACCTGTAAAAAGGTTGGTGAGTCCATTACCAACAAAAACTAAAATGACTTGTTTAATTCTTATACGCACAATATGTAATCCTGGGTACATACATATAACTTACTCAAAAGCTTCAATTAAAGTTCACGTTACTTATAGTAGTAATGCCACTCTCTGGAGTGTCCGCTTGCTGAGTCCCTCTGCAATCTCAGGTAGGTAAGATTTAGCCGCACTGTCCGCTCCACTCGGTCCCTCTGCAAACTGCACTCTCAGGTAGGTAAGGTTTCACACCTTACGTGTGGCTGCACTGTAAACTGTCTGTGTAAGTAAGGCTCCTCTCTGCCTGCTTGTGCTGCTCCGCCGCCGGTGAGAGGGAGGGGGTAAAGCAGTGCTCCCTCACAGCGGTAAGTGCCACCAGAGCGGCGCCGTCTCCATGTCATTTTGTTATGAGAAGGCAGGCCATAACTTTATTTTAATAAATGAAAAGAAAATAAATAGAGATCATCTGTATAGTCACAAAAATGTGTGAGAATATTAGATCAATCCTAAGGTGAGCCTAACAAAGAGCTACAGGATAGGGGGTAACCCAAAAATAGTCATACACAAATAAAGGAAACCCTTGAAACAAGGGGATCCCAGAGTGCAGCTCTAAATGCACAGAGATACCCTAATCTAGACAGTAGCTAGATTGGGTCAATAACAGTAAGCCAGGTAGAGAAAGCATATATATTGGGAATTGGATATAACAAATCCCGATAGAAAATCCCAATAGGGGCTATAAAGATATCGCCCCCACCCTCTTGAGACTTCAAAAAGGGTCAAGCTGCATCCTCCTACCCATAATGAAGTAACCCCCACACACACTCAGTAAGGAAGAGTTAGTCAAAAAGATCTAAGGCAACACTGTAGCACCAAGGGTAATAATAGCTAGCCCTAATGATACTCAGTGAAAAAATAATAAAGAGAATGCGTGACGCGCGTTTCGGTTTATCTACACATTGTCATCATGAGCTACTAAGACTGAATGCACAGAGTGCCGGTATAAACACACCCCTAGTTAGTTACATGTTTCCTGCTGATCCTATCTCATAGCCTATCCTATACAGAGGGAGGGTGACGTAATCCGATACGCCCCCTCTAGACGTCATAGAGTCCGCCCATTCTGATCAGCTATTTCTCATATCGTAACTCTCGGAGAGGGTGGTGTAATCAAATACGCCCCCACTCTAAACGTCACAAAGCCCGCCCACTCAGGTTGGGATTTACACGTGTGCTATGTAATGTAAACACTGATGCAGGCTGAGACTCCAGCAATCTAAAGTACATTCCGATTAGTTAACGGTGTCTCAGAGAATGGGCAAATCGATCCGTGTTTACATATATAGATCAAATTGAATAACAAAGTGGCTAGTCACAGAACTGGAGAGCTCATGACCTATATGGTACCTGTAATGACGTTCCATCACTTTACTCACCCAGTTTTAAAATATATGAGTAGTAAGTATCGCACTCACGTCACCGGTACAGTATCTGGCCAAGGCAAATTATGAGATAAATGCACAGAAAGAAATGCACAAAAAAGCCTCCGTGGTAAGTGTGCCCAATTATGGTTTGTAACATAAGCCTCTTGTACAATAAAGACACACACTCCCCACATACTAGACCTGATGATATCATTGTAATACATATAATGTATATAGTATATATGTCTCAGAATTCTTATTCCTTACGTAGCGGGCCATAGCTTATAGTCAGGATAGTTGTTCCCTATGTCCCTAAGTGCACGGTCTGGATTGATGCTGGATATGTCTAGGTAATTTTGTGTGTTACATGATACCGGGTGAGGTTAATAATTAATATATAATTAACTGGTAGGGCTGCTTAGTGTATAAACAATGGGGGGGGGGAAACTTTCTTATTTACAAACAATAAAACCACTGTATGGATAGTTAACTAAACTCTGTGGATGGAATATAGAAGATCTCAATAATCGTTTACAGGAATGATGGAAACAGAGAAATTACTTGTTTGATATGGGGATTAGACGTTCGTATCAACCAATATCTTCTATGAATTGACAACATTCTTTGTCAGCCTGCGTCGTATGTCCCAATACAGCGAATAAGATGGTTGGGGGGGTGGTCTATCTACAAAAAGTGCGTCCCTATCTGAGTTTATAGCCCTAAAGTAAGCCTTTTTAAGGGCTTTGGTTGGGTATCCTTTTTCTTTAAAGGCCCTATGTAGGTCCCAGGCTTTCACTTTAAAATCCTCAAGGGATGAGCAATACCTATGCAACCGTAGGTATTGACCAATGGGAAAGCCTGCTTTAGACGGATATGAGTGGTGACTGGCCCAGTTTAGTAGATTGTTGGTCGCTGTTTTCGTACGGTAGAGTGTGGTTAGTATTTTGCCATCATTCTGTATAGATATTGTGATGTCTAGGAAGTTCAGATTTGCACCCCCAACCTCTCTAGTAAAGCATAGGTTCAGATTATTGTCATTCAATAGTCAAACAAACTCATCAAAATCACTTTCTGAACCTAGCCTGTAATGATATTGATGTTACAAAGTTTTGGAGTCCAGTAGCCAAATCAGCAATGTTTTCTGCCAGAGGTAGCCACTCGTTACCCAGGTGGTTGAGCCCCTGAGCCTTGAGTGGCCTTCTGGTCTTAAGCAGAGATGGGAGACTGGAACAGAAAGATGATAATCGTAGTGAGGCAAGCCGAGGTCAGTGGGAAGGAGAAGCAGCAAAGTCAAAACAGTCCAAATTCAGCAACAGGAAGGAGAAACAGGAACACGCTTGATTAGAGAGTACAGGAACCACAATAATCTGGAAAAGGTACAGAGACAGGAAGTGGCTTTTATAGGCCAAGAACCAGACACAGCTGAAGAGAGTTGTCACTGATAACCTTGACTCTACAAGCAATATTATCAGATCTCAGGTAAATTTGCAAAAGGCAGGCTGGTGTACTGGTAAGGAAGAGGTTTAGCACCATGTAAACCAGGGTTCGAAACCCAGCAGAGTCAGTTCCTCACATTACCTCCACCTCTACAGGCGCAGCCTCTGGATGCCCTATTTCCTGGTTTAGCAGGGTACTGTGCATGGAAAGACTGAAGAAGATCAGGAGCATGAATATTGTCCACTGGTTCCCACGATCTATCCTCCTCACCATAGCCTTTCCAATTAACCAAATATTGAAGCTTGTTGCGGAAGATCCTGGAGTCAAGAATTTTTTCCACCTCGTATTCATCTTCACCATCCACGAGGACTGGTGGTGGGGCAGGCAAGGCTCGACCAGGGAAAGTATTTTCATGAAAAGGTTTAAGCAGTGCCACGTGAAACACCGGATGTATTTTCATGGAATCCGGAAGTTGCAGACGGAAGGTGACTGCATTGATCTGAGCGATTATCTTAAAAGGTCCCATGAACTTTTGACCCAATTTATTAGAAGGAATCCTAAGCTTAAGATTCTTTGTTGACAGCCAAACCTTGTCACCAACATGATAAACTGGGGCCTCCTTTCTGTGTGTCAGGATTACTGTTTGATCCAGCACGTAGAACTGTACAGCACGGATGACAAATAAGTAACGTATTACCGGTCCTTAGAATGGCCGGATTTAATGTACAAAGAATAGTCAAAAATACTAGCCGAGGTCAGGGAACACAGAAAGGGACACAGCGATGAGGAAAGCCAGGAGTCAGGATACCAGAATATAGAGAAGTCAATAAACAAAGCCAAAGTCAAAAACCAGGTAGAAAACTATAAACAGGAACGCGCTCTCAGACAACCACAAGGGAAACCACGACAGGGCACTGAGCAGGCTGAGAACTGGGCCTAAATACCCCTCCTTTAGTTCTGATAGGCTGTAACCGGCCTTTGACCCCAAAGTCAGTTACCAGGTTTCATTTGCATAATTGCTGCTCAGCATTAACCCTTCTGTGGATTAGGTTGCTGCTCGGCACAACTTTTCCTGTGTGGACAGTAAATGTCATTAATCACTTTTCTCTAAGCGGATGAATACATGACACCAGGTTTCATTTGCACAATTACTGCTCAGCATTAACCCTTCTGTGGATTAGGTTGCTGCTCGGCACAACTTTTCCTGTGTGGACAGTAAATGTCATTAACCACATTTCTATAAGCGGATGAATATGTGACATTACCCCCCACCTGAAGAACGCCCACCGGGCGGACAGGACCAGGCTTGAGAGGAAATTTAGCGTGA